CTGGGAAAGCCAGGCCTCAAGGATGAAGACAGAACGAGTTAAGGGCTGATGCCATCTGGGATGCACAGACGTAATACCCCAAATCTCACGACTCTTCCCTCACCTTTGGGAGGTTGGCTGGCTGGTGAGGTGTAGAAGCTGCCTCTCATGGTTCCCCAGAGATGGTTTTGTTCACAGGTCCCTTTACAGGACCAACCACCATTATGGTATTGGCTACTGCCTTCTGAACTACAGGAGGAGCTGAAAAGTAAGAGTCCTTCCTGTGTGAGTCTCAACGTGTGCCTGGATAGGATGTACCACTATGTGCCCATCTGAGTCCACTCACACCTGCCCTGCTCCCTGACTCCCTCAAGATGCTCCTTTCTCATGGTCTACATCAGTGGTCCCCAACCTTTTGGCACCAGGGACCAGGGCTCCTATGAGAATCTCATGCCTGATGATCTGAGGTGGAGCTGAGGTGGTGATGCTAGCGCTGGGGAGCGGCTGCTGTACGGCCCAGAGAAGTTTAGGAACAGGCCATGAACCGTGCGGCCGGGGGGTTGTGGACCCCGAGTAAATGACATCTCATGCCAAACCAGATATTCTTGTGTTTTCTTCATCTCAGTATTCTCTAAAGAGAACAGTGACAGAGGAGATGCTTAATGAAAAAACTTTTAAAAACTTCTAAAATGCAGTTCTCAGAAGTTGCACAGTGTTGCTGGGTAAATGCCTGGACATGGCAGCAGTGGTGGGGGCAGCTCTGCAGTTAGGCCACCCACAGACCATTCTTAGGATCTCTTCCCCCGTGAGATCCCTTCCCAATCTGCTGTCTCTTTTCCCATGGTCCATTTTTGTATTTATTTTAGATTTAACCTTTATAATTTTTCCAGTGTGTCACAAGGGACCTCCCAAAGGGCACGTCTTGCCCCTGGGAAGTTTGTTATGATTTTAAAACCTTTTGTTTATGTGCAGGTGATACATTCCAGTCCAAAGCTTATGGCAGCCCAGTAAGATCTGCTGTTACTCAGGGCAGATGAGGCCTCTGAAGAACAAACAGGTACCGAGGACTCGCTCTCTCAGTCCTACTTACCTGCAGAAGATGCTGGCCCAACAATGTGACTCTGGTCAAGGGCAAACTGTATTGTTTCTAGAATGTAGTGAAGACAGCATGCCTTATTGACTTTCTCTCTGCCCATCGGCAACAAGACTAAAAGCAAAAACGAACCCAGACTTAAAAAGCGGAGATGTGTGAACATGAGGTGACTGGAACAGCTGGATGTTCTCTTCAGAGTATAACTTTCCGGAAAGCTATGGAAGAAACCTTCCTCTCCTGTTCACAGTGACTTACATAATATATCTAATAAATTTCAAATACCAATGACCTTGAACGTAAACAGGATGATCATGTCTAAAAATATTAATGATCTTCTTAGAAGCCAAATGTTTGCTACGCCAAGTAGTTTTCTCGTCTCTATAAAAATAAAGCAATACTGAGGCTCACAGTCCTACCACCATATCCAATAATTCTTAAAAAGTGGGATTTGATGTCAAATATGCATCTTCGATTTAGAGATGGAGGCTCCAGACCACAGACTGAAGATGGGGCAGAACAAGACATGCGATGCAACACCTTTTCAATGACAATTTCTGTCTCCTGGGTCTTCTTTCTTCTGGATCAGGGTGGACAACTAGAAAACACATTGTTTGCTTCAAACAGG